TGCAAGGTATTTATTTTATCCAGTCCAATAAAAGTTGAATGCATATCTGACACCAGGGAAAACAAGAATTCTATGTTTGACCAGAACTCGATAGCCCTACTAAATGTTGTTTTTTTACAACAAAAAGATAGAGAAAATATAGATCTACCTTTCATTTCTGAGTACTCATAATTTGTAATAATGTTTTATACCATTATAAATCTAATATTTGTTATATCTTTCTTTATTCTTAAAATTTCAACTGAACAGTAGCATATTTTGCAAAAAAAAAGTTATCTATAACAATAAAGTCAAACTTTTGATCAGTACGGTATAGTTCTACTTATATTCAAGGAAATGTAACTATTTCACTACTAGAAACTAAATTCGATTCATTTCTAAATCCAACAACCATTGGTAGAAACTAGATCTTAGTCTGTTTCATAATGGGGTGGTGGGGGGGGGGTGTAAAAATTTCACCTTCAATATAACAAAAATCTATCACTTTCTTATAGTACGCTCACAAGGCAGCTGAAGCATAAATCCTAGGGAAAAAAGTAGCGAGAGTTTTAGAGAGAGCAAACAAGTAGCTTTTAAAACATTTGCTTAATTACTTTATTTTTTAAAAATCACGATATTAATTTCATAATGCGACTTTAGAATAAGTAGAATTTCCTTTTATATTTGTTCATTAAAAACATTTGGTGGCAGAAAATAGGAATAGCACAATGTTTTAACTCCTGCAAAATTTTTATCTCTGGAGAAAATAGTTTTGAAACACGATCAGTAACTTACGATCTCTAAAAGACAGTTATCTACACATTCTTTGTCCGTGGGTACATCTCAAGCAAAAAACTAACCAGTTCACCGTCGTCAAGCAACTGATAGTTTATAATCTTTCCATCTCCCCTTTTATATTAGTTAGGGAACATTAGTTATATATAAATATCTAATCTAATGTCTAGGCTGACTCAGTATGTGAAATTGTTTCAGTGTCATCGGAGATGAATTTATATTGAAAGTTACGAAATCGTTGAATTATAAGTGGTTCGACATTAAGTTACCAGATTTAGTAAAAATGCTGTAAAATAATATTTGAGCCATCAGTATCATACTTAAGTATATATCACTTTACATGCTTCTCAAAAAAAAAAAACCAAACTAAATTATAAAAAAAGAACGCTTATACAGACTTACCTTCAAATTTTCTTCATGCCCTACTGTATGTGGTCTGCTATTATTTATCCTGCAACCATCTATGTATAAAAAAGAAGGGGCATTACTAATATATATATATATATATATATATATATATATATATATATATATATATATATATATATATATATATATATATATATTTCTATTTATATATATACATATATTTATATATATATATATATATATATATATATATATATATATATATATATATATATATATATATATATATATATATATATATATATATATATACATATATATATATATATATATATATAACAACACAAAAGTAAATAAAGAAAACATTAGGATATAAAAAATTACTTTAAAACTTAATTATTAGTCATTATTTATAAAATTGTATAAAATAAAGATTGTTGCAATAGAAAATGAAAATGCGTTCAAATTCACCATTATAGTATTAATATAAGTACAATCAACATCGATGAAAACTTTCATAATTTTTGTCGAACAAAATCTTAAAATCAAAATAAATTAGTTTAAAAATAACATTGCAAGATGTAGGTTCAAGCAATATTACAATTTTTTTTAAAATAGAAAACGCTTAACTAATCATCTAATTGAAAAAAAAATGAATTTATGTGGGAATTAATTACAAACCCATTAAATGCAGAGGTTAAGAAACAAATGAACTCTTTGTCATCCGCCCTATCGGTCTTTCATTCTCAAAGAGGAACTTTACTTCTTTTGGTGTTTTCAAAGTAATATTTATATATTCCAACTCGTATTTTTTTAATAATATGCGAAAGTTAGATACAATATTAGCTTGACCGTCCCCGCGCCAAATCGCACCCTGTCGTGACGCCGCCCGTGCGAAATTGATTTCTTTTTTTCCCCGGAAAATTCCCCAGTAGTATTCTTAACAACTTCCCAAAGTTTCATGGCTATCAGATGAAAGGTGTAGTATTGCATAAAAGACAGACTAACAAATTGAAAAACAAACACACACACATACATTGCATTTTATCTTCGTGTTATTAACTTCCATATATATATATATATATATATATATATATATATATATATATATATATATATATATATATATATATATATATATATATATATATATATACATATATATATATATATGGAAGTTAATAGCACGATGACGAACTCACCCCATAATCTACAACAACTGACGTTTGTATAACCACATTTATTTTAATAACAGTAAACAGGAGTTAGACGATAGTTAAGGATGTCACAAAAATTACGGTGAAAAGTTTGTCCTTTCTCGGTTCATATGAGTAAAACAATTATGTAAAATGACAAAGTTGTGTAATCAAATATTTAAACCCTACCTGAAAGGTTCTTGAATAAACTTTCCTTTGATGATGAGGCAGAGCTTACGTCGAGATGCCGGTCCATTGAATTGGTCTTTTCACGATCCTCTGATACACGGAACTTTACTGCATGGAAAGAAAAAAGAAGGAAATTGATTAAATTGGTCACTTCTAATGTTGTGAACATCTAATAATGTCAATCTATGCTTTACCTTACTCCCATCTATATATATATAATTCTCTTCTGGGAGCCGTTAGAAAACAAGCTGCAAGCGCCTTCTTGCAGTCCCCTCTCTTTCTCTCTATCACTATCACTACCACCCCCACCCCACCCCCACATTGTCTGGTGAGCTGTGGTCACGCTAAATGTTTACAAAGCTAAATGTTTACAAATGTTTTAAAGCAAGTATTTTCAGTGGCAGCATTGGTACTGTCGAATTCACAAATTATGAATTACTGAAAAGTAGAAAATAAAACAACTAAATAGCGGCGTATGATACGCCGCGGGTCGGCTCGTACGTGTAAATTTAGATGGGGAAAATAGTTTGCAAGATTTTCTGGGTTACTTGCCGCACTAAGATTCGTGACTTACAGAACTAAATAAATGACAACTACATCAATGACAGCTACATCAATGACATCTACACCAATGACAGCTACATCAATGACAGCTACATCAATGACAGCTACATCACTGACAGCTACAGTAATCAAAGCTATATGTATGACAGAAACAACAATCAAAGCTACACCAATCACAGCTACAGTAATCACAGCTACGTAATTACAGCTACATCAATGACAGCTACATGAATTACAGCTATATCAATCACAGCTACAGTTATCACAGCTACATCAATCAGATCTACATCAATCACAGCTACATCAATCACAGCTACATCAAGCACAGCTACATCAATCACAGCTACATCATTCACAGCTACAGCAATCACAGCTACAGTAGTCACCAAGTGTATTGGTTGGTCTCCCAGTTGGCTTTTTACATTTTTCACAACACAGCAGATCAGCCGATGCATCAAAAGCTTTGGAACTGTCAAACATGCAGCAGCCATTAGGACCTCCAACAGCACGCATGCATGGTGGTTTGTTACAATATGGACGTCGGCCTGAAATGGAATTTATATAGAAAATATATACATTTTCAAGTGTTCGAAGCCCCGGAAAATTAAGTCCGCCACCAAAAAAAAGTATCACGTGCACCCCCCCCCCCCCCCAGAGAAAAAAGGCTGAAACGAACACTGCATGTGTAAAACTCGAATTTCGCAAGATCGTGTAATATTTCATATATGTTTTTGACTAAACCTTTAGAAACCATTTAGAAAACCATTCAATATAGATCTACATAAGCTACGTTAATTTATTTTGGCTTTGAAACTGAAACTAGATTTTTCTCTTACTACTCCGAGTTAATTATATCAGTTCATTAATAACCAAAACGGAAATAGTGCTTGATTTTTAATTTCTCCTATATACAAAAAAGAGAGAAGTCTTGTAATTGTGCAAAAAAAGAAATCGAAATTTTTGCAAATCTCGAATTTTACACCTCCCTGAGTGCTTGATTTTTACTTTCTCGTATACACGAAATATAGAGAAAGACTTGTAATCGTGAAAAAAAAAATCGTTTTTCACCTCCCTGATTCGGAAAAACATAGTTTTACAATCTTGTCCGTATGTATGTGTGTGTATGTGTGTATGTTTGTGTGTCTAAAAGTCTGTGTGTGTCTTGAAATACGATAACTTGAGTACCATTACAGCTAGGTTAATAAAATTCATATATAAGTATTACATCTAAATGGTAAGTCAGTATCACCTTTTAAGTCATTTCCGATAATTGGAAGTGGAACTGTTTCTACTTTCAATTTTTAAAAAGGCTATAACTTGAGTATTGTTTCAAATATATAAATGAAATTTCACATGTACTTTAATGATCACATTCAGTGCCTTACATCACATTTTGAGTAATTTCCGTTGACTGGAAGTAGTAGTTTTTGCTATTTCTGATTTCTCAAAAACGCATGTGAATTTATAAAGTACTAACAACAGATAACGTCTTCGTGTAATAATGCATATATATATATATATATATATATATATATATATATATATATATATATATATATATATATATATATATATATATTTATATATATATATATATATATAAATGGTGTCCTGTCAGAACGGCCCGGGACAAATTGGCCCGTCAAAACGGCCCCGATAATATGACCCCGTCAAATCGACCCCCGTCAAAATGACCCGATCAAAATGACACCGTCAAAGTGGCCCCATCAAAGTGGCCCCGACTTATTGGCTCTTGTAAAATAGGCTCAAGTCATTAAAAAAAAGGAGTAAGACGATAGTTAAAGATGCCACAAAAATTAAGGTGGAAATTTTGTCCTCTCTTGATTAATATCAGTAGAAAAATAGTGTGACATGTAAAAGGTGTTTAATCAAATATTTAAACACTACCCGAGAGGTCCTTGAATAAACTTTCATTTGATGATGAGGAAGAGCTTTCGACGAGATGCCGGTCCAATAAAGTGTTCTTTCCACGATCCTCTGATACACCTTGCGTTTCTACATGGAAAGAAAAATAGGAGGAAATTGATTCGATTGATTTCTTCTAATGTTGTGAACATCTAATAATGTCAATCTATGCTTTACCTCACTCCCATACGTGTAAATTTAGATGGGGAAAATAGTTTGCACGATTTTCTGGCTGCTTGCCGCACTCAGATTCGTGACTTACAGAACTACATCAATGACAGCTACAGTAATCATAGCTACATGTATCACAGCAATAACAATCACAGCTACAGCAATCACAGCTACAGTAGTCACCAAGTGTATTGGTTGGTCTCCCAGTTTGCTGTTTACATTTTTCACAACACAGCAGATCAGCCGATGCTTCAAAAGCTTTGGAACTGTCAAACATGCAGCAGCCATTAGGACCTCCAAAAGTACTCATGCATGGTGGTCTGTTACAATATGGACGTCCGCCTGAAATGGAATTTATATAGAAAATAAATAATTTTGCCAGTGTTCGACGCCCCGGACAATTTTGTCTGCAACCAAAAAAAAAGATATCAAATGCCCCCCCCCCTCCAGAGAAAAAAGGCTAAAAGAAACACTGCATGTGTAAAACTCGAATATTCGAGAAAGTTAAGGCCTTATATATTTCTTAAAACTCAGCAGATTGTCCGATGTATTACCTGGAATGCGACCGTCAAACAAGCATCCATACGAACGTCCAATAGCATCCATGCACGGTGGTCTGTTGCAATATGGACGTCCGCCTGAAATGGAATTTATATAGAAAATATATACTTTTACAAGTGTTCGCCACCTCGGAAAATTTAGTCCACCACCCGCCACCCTCGAAAATATCAAGTGCCCTTCTCCCCCCCCCCCCCCCCCATCCCCCGCTCATATGTGTAAATTCGAATTACGTAAGATCGTGTAATATTTCATAAAATTTTTGACTAATCTTTTAGAATCCATTTAGAAAACCATGTAATAGACAGAAACTACCTCAAGTTTTTTTTTTACTTTAAAATGAAACTAGGTTTCTCTCTTACTATTGCAAGTAAATAATTTCAGTTCATTAATAACTGAAATGGAAATAGTGCTTGATTTTTATTTTCAGGTATATACGAAGAAGAGGGAAGTGCAAAAAAATTTGTGTTTGTAAATCTCGACGTTTTACACCTCTCTGAGTCGAAAAAAACATAGCTTTGCAATCTTGTCCGTATGTCTGTGTGTGTGTGTAAGTGTGTTGTGTATGTGTGTGTGTCTGTTCGTCTGTGTGTGTGTGTGTCTGTAAACACGATAACTTGAGCACCGTTACAGCTAAGTTGATGAAATTTCAAATATAAGTATTATATCAAAATCGCAGATCCGTGTAAACATTTCAGCAATTTCCGATAACCGGAAGCGTAACGTTTTCTACTTTAAATTTTTCAAAAATCTATAACTTTAGTACTATTTCAGATAGATAAATGAAATTTCACATGTAAGTAAAAGTTCAAATTCTCTGCCTTCTGTTAAATTTGGAATAATTTCCGTTGAACGGAAGTAGTAACTTTTGCTGCTATTTCCGTTTTCACAAAAACGCTTGTGAATTTATAAAGTAAGCCTACTAATAATAATTCTGCAATATTATGCACATTTTATTTGGCGTTCACTTGGTGTGCAATTCTTTTTTCTAGAGATTTTATTCTAATTTAAAAAAATAAAGTATTAAAATGGATGAACAATCATGTCTGTATCCCGAGTTTCCATCTCATGTTGTTTTATGTAAGAATATTGGAGAAAGTTTAGGCCTATTATAATTCTCAAAACTCAGCAGATTGCCCGATATATTACCTGGAATGCATCCATTAAACATGCATCCATACGAACGTCCAACACCATTCATGCAAGGTGGTCTGTTACAATATGGACGTCCGCCTGAAATGAAATTTATATAGAAAATATATACTTTTACAAGTGTTCGCCACCCCGGAAAATTTAGTCCGCCACCCACCCCCCTCCCCCTCGATAATATCAAGTGCCCCCTCCCCCTTCCCTCCCAGAGAAAAAAGTCTGAAAGAAACACTGCATGTGTAAAACTCGAATTACGCAAGATCGTGTAATATTTCATAACATTTTTGACTAAACCTTCTAAATCCATTTAAAAAACCATTCAATAGACAGAAACTACGTTAGCTTTTTTACTTTCCAGTATATACGAAGTACAGAGAAAGTCTTGTAATTGTGCAAAAAAAAAATCGAGATTTTTACAAATCTCGACGTTTTACACCTCACTGATACGGAAAAACATAATTTTGCAATCTTGTCCGTATGTCTGTGTGTCTGTCTGTGTGTGTGTAAACACAATATTTTAAGTAACGTTACAGCTAGATTGATGAAATTTCATATGTAAGTGTTTTATCAAAATCGTAGATCCTGATCAACTTTTGAGCGATTTCCGATAAACGGAAGTGGTACTTTTTCTACGTTGAATTTTTCAATAGCCTATAACTTGAGTACTATTTCAGATAGATAAATGAAATTTTACTTGTAAGTAGAAAATCTAATTCTCTACTTTCTGTCAAGTTTTGAATAATTTCTGTTGAACGGAAGTACTAATTTACGCTTTTTCCGATTTCTCAAAAAACGCATGTAAATTTATTAAGTACTAATAATTCTGTTTTCTACTAGATTTTACTCTATTTTTAAAAGTTTAAGTAAACAAAAATCATGTCTATATTCCGAATTGCGATCCCAATTGTGATGTATTAGAATATTCGAGAACGTTTAGGGGAGATCACTCTCGGTTTATTTTACTTATTACTTTTATTACTTATTTACTTTTATTTAATAAAACAAGATTTCTCTTTTACTATTGGGAGTTAAAAATTACAGTTCATTAATAACTGAAGCGGAAAAAATGCTTGATTTTTACATTCTCGTAGATCTATATACGAAGTATAAAGAAAGTCTTGTAATCGTGCAAAAAAATAATTAGAGATTTTTGCAAATCTCGATGTTTTACACATCCCTGAGTGGGAAAAGCATAGTTTTGCAATCTTGTACGTATGTCTGTGTGTTTGTGTATGTGTGTGTGTTTATCTGATTATGTGTCTGTGTGTGTCTGTTAACACGATAACTTTAGTACCGTTAAAGCTAAGTTGATAACATTTAATATGTAAGTATTATTTCAAAATCGTCGATACGTATCAATTTTTGAGCGATTTCCGATAAACGGAAGTGAAACTTTTTCTACTGTCAATGTTTCAAAAAGCCTATAACTTGAGTACTATTTCAGATAGTTAAATGAAATTTCACATGTAAATAAAAGATCAAATTCTCTGCCTTCTGTCAAATTTGGAATAATTTCCGTTAAATAGAAGTAGTAATTTTACTTACATACATATTTGAATATATCTATATATATATATATATATATATATATATATATATATATATATATATATATATATATATATATATATATATATATATATATATATATATATATATATATATATATATATATATATATATATATATATATACATATATATATATATATATATATATATACATATATATATATATATATATATATATATATATATATATATATATATATATATATATATATATATATATATATATATATATATATATACATATATATATATATATATATATATATATATATATATATATATATATATATATATATATATACATTCATCGCCTACTTTTTTTCTCTTGCCCACTAAACTGTTAATTTTTATAGTTTTATATAAAAGGCGGTGATTCGCATTCATAGAAATTATACATGATTTCGCGGCCTAAGGTTCTCTTCCGCAGTCGACAATCTGTTGTCGTTGATGCTGTTCTTAGAACAAACCTTTCTGAACTGTCAAGTGTGAGCTTCAAACCTCTCAATTTCATACATTTTTCTATTAACCCAAACACTAACACAAACACTCCCATCCTCAGGTGGCGATACCGCTTTGTATGGGAACCACTGGTGTAGGGTAAAGATGTATGTATCCTTAAAGTAAAACTATGGTGTTTAAGATCACAACACTTACATCTTTTATAATACAAGTTGGAGATATATACGGATGATCACCAACGCTTAGGAGCCTGGTGTGGTCACTTTGATTCGAAGCAGTTAAATAATAAAGTGGGAGCATGGAGGAGAGAGATGGAAGAAGTGCAGGCTACTGGCAAGACCTGGCATGAATTGAAGTGGCTCGCCCAGGGCAGGGTGGAATGGCGAAGATTTGTTGCTGCCCTTTACTCCACAGGGAGTGAAGAGGATTAAGTATGTACATCGTAAACAATATAATTTAATTTTCAAAATCTATTTGTAGAAATTAAACTATAGGCTACCTGGTACCATTTTTGAAGAACCCTTTTCAGCTTCTCGTCAACACAACAGGATATATCTGTTTAAAAAAAATTAAGTAGATTTAATGTAATACGGTCATTTAATATCTTCAGCATTAGATCTCGAGAACTCATGATGTCTCTGCAATAAACCAGCTCTGATGGGTATCTGACCCTATTTATGCCTAAGTCACATAAATAGGTGAACTCTACTCCACCTGTACCACCAGATTTGGGAGAGCAAATTTACTTGCAATGTTGTGCAAGATTACGACTAAAACGAGATTATCTCGACTCCTTAGGGTGTACTACAGCTCACTTGGTGACGTCTTGTTGTATCTGGATTGGTCTACTGTAACAGGCAAATGGAACTCTATGTCCTTCTTGCACTCTAGCATAGTGCTCTAGTTGATTTCATGTGCAGTATCTAAACTTAATACTGAATTACTATATCCATATGAGAGAATCACTGTTTGCAGGCGTGAACCAAGTTATTCTATGTACAAATAGAGAAAAGAAGAACTTTAGTGAGAATCAAAACTTAATACGTTACCTTCTCAAAGCAATATATTCACATTCCTCTTCATTAACATGGCTAAAGGGTTCTTTCCATTTTGATCAAAATCACCTCCCTTCAAATCATCGTATCTGTCTATACATGTTGCAAAGTAAGAGAGCTTTTACAGTTTAAAATGATGTCCTTTCAACCCACCGCCTACTAGTATACACAATTTATTTTAAAAAGCAAGATATTTATAAAAGTGATAAAATAATTTATCCTAAGTTTTTCTAGCCCCCCCCCCCCCCTTTTCAGCCTGTCATCTCTTTAAACAGATAGATCAGCATGGCAGAATTGTATGCACGTGTCTACACAACTTAGGAAAATGTTAAATGTGAAAGCTCGGTAAACTGTGCTGTCTTAGCACATCCACCGCTCTGAGCTTAGCACATCCACCGCTCTGAGCTTAGCACCCACTGGCTCTGAGTTTAAATAAAAACTGCGGTTGTTTTCTATGGTTTAAAACCCGTTCAACGGGCGCGAGCGAGTTGACTCTTCCCATCATGTTGTTGACAAGGATTAAAAACGTGCTTTTTTTAGATTTAGTAAACAAAGCGACCGTAAAAATAAAAACTTAAGCCTAAAATTAATAAAGTTGCAACTCCAGAGAACTTGAAAATAATTTCTTGAGTTTAAGGCTACATTTTTATTTATTTTCACTTTCGTAAGACAAATATTGTCTCCGTGATCGATAACTATTTGTTTACAAAACTTTGCAGAAACAGTTTTTAAAAAAACAATGCAAATTTAGACCCCATGACATAGTTTTCCTTTGTTTTCGCTTACAATGTGTACAATACATTTTATTGCAGCCTATCGAATAGCAGGATGAAATTATTTATGTCGCCATTACACGTGAAAACCAAACTGTTTTTGCTTTTTTATTTTTTATTTAGTTATCGAAAATATAAAAAAAATCAAATACATCCAATCTTCAGTAAAGTCCGAAAAAAAACAGACTGACAGGATTTTATAAATATATTAATTGTAACTACGCCTTGCATAATTTTTAAATTAATTAATGGGCTTCTCGAATACCTTCTCGCTCGCGTCCATTAGTGATTAGGTGGACGGTATGACTCAATAATTTTGGACGTTTGGACGAAGTCTGAATTACATGGTACATGAACTATAAGAAATCTGTTCATGTTAAGTATTGGGTAAAATCACGATAGAGCGTCGGTTATTATTCCGGAATTTTACAGCAGTAAAAAACAGTAAAACCATGGCGTAGTCTGCCGAGCCGTTCCGGAAACCACCGAAAATACTGTAAAACATAATTTATTTGCCGCCATATTATTTTTAATACATAATGCTTTAAAATGCGCATAGATTGATTTTAATTGCATTTTAAATACTGTTTTGCTAATTATCTTGTATTTCTAATTATTTTAAGTGTATGTGCTAATTTTTGCTGCAACTCAACATTGTTCTAGTTCTTCCTGCTACTTTTAACTTTAGTAAATCTAATCGTCTTGTTTTACTAAATCTAGATGGAGTTGTCGCAAATCTTCTGCAAGTTTTGTTTTTGTTTCTTATTAAAGAAATTCATGTTTTTTTATTATTAAATAAAAAAACATGAATTACCACACTCGACTTTATTAATTATATTTAGATTTACTAATTGTTGCTAATTTTCTGTCAATTACACATTAAATTAAGTTAAAACTTTTATTTAATGCACTTGACTTTATTCTTATTTCAACGGTCAAATAAACTATGGTTTACAGTAACGAATGTTCCCGAAACTCAACAAACATTACCAGATAATTTCCGACGCTTTATCGTGAGATTACCAAACATCGTTTGTAAAGTTAACATATGTATTTTATTACCATGTAAACCTCTGGCCGATCGAATTTTTAAAATTTAAATGGATGTTCTCATTAATATCACTTTAAATGTTGTTCGTGGACAAGATGATGGAAATACAACTGTTCATTTCCGCGTACCGCGCAAATCAGAACTAGTGCTCCCTTTTCAAATCATAGTGTGCAATCTTAACTATAAACACGGTGTGTAATCTTAACCATAAATATAGTGTGCATTCTTAACCCTAAACATGGTGTGCAACCTTAACCATAAACGTGTAGGCTATTCTAGTTTGGTCCGGCTTTGAGCGCGCATTGGAGAATCCATGATGTTAGTGTAAAATGTGATACAAATAAAAATAGCAAATCATTTAAAAAACTCACCAGCAATGTGTCATTGTTTGATCTTGTGTTGTGGATCAACTAGTCAGGTTTGATTTGGTGTTGTGTATCTACTGGTCAGGTTTGATCGTGAGTAGTTAGGTTTCCCATGCTCTCGGAGTTGTTATGAGCAAGAGAATCAGTAAAACGTGCTTACAAATGTAAATTGCCGACTTTATATTTTGAATTGTTATTAAATGTAATGATGGTATAAAAGAAAACTCTTAAGTTAATTAATATTTTAATAAAATAAGATGATTAATATTGCTGGTTTTGCAATGTTTAATTTAAATTTCATAATAATAACTTAAATAACATTTCTTTTCATTGAAAGGTGATAGGTAGACAGTCATAACAAATTGCGATTAAAGAATAGAACGCCAAAGGTTTGCACGGTTTAAGATTTTACTTAATAAACTTAACACAACTAATATGAAAATGCATTAGGGTAACGAACTAACGATATCACTACGATAAAAATGCTTAAGATTTAATGTTGCATTAGAATGTCCCACGAAGTAATCTCATTTGTAAAATATTACCTTAAACACACCCACTCTGATATGTAATTGGAGTAACGACTTAAAACGCCATGAAAGAACATACCATTAATTCACATGTCTGAAATCTAGAAAATCAATGATATCTGAATATTTACATATAGGACAAACGCATCATAGATTCCCGTAAATGTAGCATGCTCTTCAGCAGCAATTTTGATCCACTTTCCTCTTTTTTATAACTTTCTAAGTCTCGTATTTCACACCGGTTTTCATATGTTACTGTAGACTTGCCCCATTGTAATTCAGACATCATCTGTCTCCTTTCTGCTTCCCGTTGTCGCATTTGTTTCCTTATTTCAGCTCTTGCATCGGAAATTTTTAATTGTGGAGATTTCGTGTTTCTAGTAATAGTCCTTGAAAATTCTTTCTGTTTTTCCAGTGTGTCATGCACGGATGTAGTTAGACTCAGCATCCTGTTGCGTGAAATTACGTCTATTGTTGCGTCTATTGCATCAATAGAGTTTGGTGTGGCTTGTCTTGGATGAACATTTGGGATCGCTGGTTGCACGGTCTTGACGATTATCCGAGGTATTCCAGTTTCGGTGATGCGGTCTTTAGTTTTCTGGACATTCTTATAATTTGCTTCTGTATATCGTCGATCACGAAACACCAACACATCGACCATTTGAATCAACTGGTCGATTTGTTCAGTTATTAGCAACTCGTCTTTGGTTTTTGTTGTCAAACAAAATCACTCTATGGAAGCACTCCTCGATCAAATCCTGAAAGGCGCCATCTTGTTTTTGGCACCACTCTGAGAAGGCCAATCCTACTGAATCTGTTTCCTCCTGATCTTGCTGAAAAACATCTCCGCACGTCAAGATTAAAATACAAAATTTTCGAACAAAATCATCTCCGAATATTTTCTTTAACAACACAACCGACTCCTGTTCTTCACGTGCCATATTTAAAGACCAGAATAAAAGCATGATAGCCTTCAGGATTGGCTGCCAGAGCCAAATGAGCGGCCTCGTTCAACTGCTCAACTGACCCCTCATCGTCCAATCTAGTATCACAAATTGTCAGACCATCTACGACGTTTATCTGACGACGGTTGTATTCTGTCATCGCGTTGTCAATGTTTTGGGTTAACGATGATGTACTAGGGCCGCTTGCAAATTTCGTTTTTTCGCGGGATGCTGTTTCCCGTCGCACTTTTACCATTTCTAGTTTTCCCGATAAGGAGAAGATCGATTCTAGCTTTATTGTTCTAGAGAAAAACAGAAACATAATAAATATAAAATGAGTGTATATAAAATAATTGTATATGAAGAACAATGTTTACCCAACAAAACATACGGATTTATATATTGATTGTATTCGTAATATTCTACACACGATAATAAAACTTTCCGAACACAATTTATGATCCTAATTCCATCATGGTTTTCACTCTTTGAATTGATAGTATTTATGCCTGATGTGTGTTTACATGGGGGAGACCGGAACTCTAGTACCTAACGTTGATATTAGCGCTCTCTACCTCTGTACCCCTCAGCCATACTGTGGTGTTATTACTGATATTACTATCAAGACAATAGGGTCCGTCTTACATAGCGAACTGATATATTCTGCTGGACATTTAAGTGTAGAAAATAGCTAAATAGACATGTTAATATCAACTTTCCTTATGATCGTGAGATATCTCATCCCTATAAAAAGGTTCTGACAAAGACTTAGTATTTTACATAAATCGAACATAGCGATACACGAGTAGATTTTGCAACTAGGCTTAAACCAGATACTCTCTGACGTAATCCATTTTCCTTTTGTTCTCAGCTAGCAAATAAATGGCTGGGGCTAGAATACAACAAATATTAATTACACGTGTGAGTAGAATTTATGTTGCATTAATTTTCTAAACAGTTTTGATCACTAGGGGAGGGGGGGGGGGGGTAAATGCTTCAACAATCAAATATGAATAGAAAATCCATTCAAACGTTTTATCTGTAATTATACGTCAAAGAGTGTACAATTTTACCAACATATGCACGATGGATACTTTGCTATAGACCTGCATGCAATTTTAAAACGCCACACTTTCTCCGGCAAAATTCGATCGTTACCATCGTTACGACTTATTGCGATTTTTTTCTCTCCTTGAAATAAACATTGATTTTGATCGTGTAATTAATTTAACAGTTTATTTTGCGAATAGTTAAAATTCTATCTACAACTTTACATTTACTGGCGTACAAAAGTTTATGTGGTCTATGTACTCACAACACCCAGATGGTAGGACTAGGTAAACCTTAGTCGTAAATTTAGTAATGTGGGCGAGAGTGAATTAATGAATATGGCTTTAAATATGAGTATATTTGTAATGCTTAGGGGTGGGGAGGAGGGGGGGGTGGAAATCGACCACAGAGATATAAAACAAACGAATGAAAGCTGGAAGAAACCAAGCGGTTACAGAAAACTGTAGTATTCAAATAATTAAGTATGTTTTGATAGTAAAAGCCAACCACTTAGCCTTCAGTTAGGCCTTAATGTATCACCAATGAATGACGTCATTCTTTTGCAGCGTGTCTTTCTCCCACAACAATCCCCAGTTTTCAACACACGAAAAAAAAACCTGACTTCTCAAAAATCACGTCGCTAAGTTCTACTTAACCTCTTCCCGCCACAAATCACAATTTCTATTTAAAACAATATGTTCATCTTATATTTGTTCTGTAATAGTGCACGCTGTCTTAACCCCGGATAAGCGACGTCATTTATGGGTGATCTAATATTGGTTGGATTACTGCAAATAAAGAGTTCAAAAGTTCGACCTCCGGACAATCGTTGTCGTCTTGTATGGACAGGAATAAGTCTGAAAAGGTCTATTAGCCATTTATTTTTAACTATATTAGAAAAAAAAGAAAAATTACTATACAGCCTTATATTAAAACAATAAAAAAAAACTACCATATAAAACCACAAAATCAACACAACATGCATGCGAATAAACAATTTTTCAATTGAAACTACTCTATTATTGTTTTTGAAACATGGCCGCTGCTCGTGTTTACTCGATTGTTGTCTCGAACAGGTTAGTTTAAAGTTTATTCCAGGATACTTTTGACTGGTTTGATATTGAAATGTGATTTTTTATTCTATTATCTGTTATATTATGTAAAATATGGCTTAAATATGGCCACATGAAAGAAGTATTCACTATTTACAATGACCGTACATTACTAGCTTCGTTGGAATTTACGACGCTAAACTAATCATGGTGCGAATCCAAAGTCACACATATATTATTTTATTTCCTGGACGATTGTTTACAAGCTCAAACTACCAGTAACACTTTAGCTGTGTTGTGGAGTGAAATTCATTTAGAGCTAGATCTAGAACCCACATATAGAGACGACACTTGGCAAAGTTAGACTTTTGGAACAATTTCCATCTGATGTCAGGACGCTGAGATGTCCAAAAAAGATAATGACAGATTTAACCAATTCCACCATAGCAACAATAAAAGCGGTTATATAGGCCCTGGTTGATTGGCCTTACATAGTTAATGAATTTTTTTAACACGCATGCGTGGCGTAATATTAAAATTCCATGGTATAATGTTCTGAGTCCCACAAACAGTTTTCATGGTGGCTTTACTTACACAACTATTGTAGCAATTTACTTGGATCTAACACATATTACATCTAGTGATGTATTTGGTTTTATTAAGATTGTTGTAACGTTTCGCCCTGACTCCCCCACCGAGTCTGTGTAGCAAATAGGCAGGTTTGCGTTCAGTCTGTGTATCAACTAGTCAGTTCTGAACTTGTGTTTAGGCTATTTATCAACTAGTCAGGTTTGATATTGTTTTTAGTTTGTGTATCAACTTGTCAGGTTAAATATTGTGTTCGGGTTGTGTTTCAATTAGTCAGTTCTGAACTTGTGTTTAGGCTATGTATCAACATGTCAGGTTTGATCGTTGATACCCGGGTCTCCCTGACTATTGATGCTCTAATGTGTACCTGCCACACAGATACTTGAACACCGTAAAAGTCATTCAAAACCTTGCATGGTGGTCTATTTCACAGCTCGTAGCACCGTGTCTGTATCCATACAGGGATGTACAAGGATACCGACGAAAACATTATTTTAAAATAATTTCTACCGTTTCTTAATATAAAATATTTATAAAAAATTATTTCATCCTAATATTTGCAAGCTATAACTTACATATTCAAATTGTAATGTTTGCATAAATTGTATATTGATTGGTTATTCGATTAAATGATTATATACGTGGAGATTTCAAGTTAAATTTAAATATCCAGCCTTAAGTTTTCTTCAGCTAACTCTTTTCTTTAAAAGTCATCCTCTCATACACATTCTTTAGACCAATATTTCACGACAAATTTCACACTGCCTTCTTTCATTCACCATGAGGATTAACAATTAATTTGAATTAAGTAAATGTAAACTAGCGTGACAGTGATAACCGTGCTCGAGGGTCCACTATAAAGTACAACACCAAACAGGTGCTAACATTTCGACCATAAGACCAAATAGAAGGAAAGAAAGAAAAAGAAATGTATTTCAAAAGTTTTGATACAGTCTAGACTGTAAGAGTACTATCTTTTTTATACGCTTAAGTCAATTAGTTAACTCTGAACAGAACTGATTTTTTTAAAATGATGAATTCGGACAATAAACATTTTCTGTACAATATTTAAGAAAGTGACATAATTCGTTTGTAGTTGTGCAAACAGCCAGCGCTGTAACTTTATTTTAATTAAAATAAGAGAAGAAAAACTCCGCCGCCTAAACACCACCAGCTTTATGGTGCCAAAACGTTTATAAAGTAACGGAACTTTTATTTACAGAGCTCATAACTGACAAAAGGTTGAGGCGACACTGGAATTCTCACCTGAACTTAAGACAGTTGTTGACTCAAGTCACCTGAACTTAAGACAGTTGCTGCCTTAAGTTTGTCTATGCATTCTCAACCTGCTTCAGTCCTTCCTGTACCAGTTTCAGGCTTTCCGAAAGAATATTTTTGAGGTCAAAAGTTCCCCCTCCTTGTGCTTGTCCAGCCTGTTCCATTGCTCTGGGAATCGTTTGAGGTCCGCGCTCCTTGTCTCGCCTCTGTTGCACCAGATCTTCAAATCTCTTCTGATGATTGCGTTCTATTTCCCTCCTCTGCTGCTCATGGCGTTTTAAGTCGTCAATCTGATTTTCAAAATCCTCCCTTTGATTTTTCAGCTCTTTATCGAATACCTGTTTCATTTCTTCTTCCTGTTGTCGACTTTGTTGTGTTTCTTCAATACATATGCGAGAGAAATCGTTTTCATTAGAAACCTTTTTTTGTCGAGTTTCCAAGGTTTGAGTCAGGTCTCGAAAACCTCCTGAGAATTCTTCCAGCTTGGCAAGAATGACCTGGACAGTATTGGTTTGACTCAACATCTTGTCAAGTGTGACTAAGTCTACTGTCTCATGTGAGACTTGCGGCTGGTCAACAACTGGACGTTCTTCTTTGACCGTGGTCTCGCCGTTTATCGTGAGCACCTTTGGTTTGGCTGCCACATTATCTTTGATTTTCTGAGCCTTTTCATAGCGAGCTTCCGTATAACGTCGATCGCGAAATCTCAACTCATCAACCATTTTGACTAATGTGTCAACTTGTTCTTTTTTCTTTTTCTTGTTTTTGGTTTTATTATCAAACAAGACCACCCTATTGCAACACTCCTCGAGCAAATCCTTAAAGGCGCCATCTTGTTTTTGGCACCACTCCGAGAAGGCCAATCCTACTGAATCTGTTTCCTCCTGATCTTGATGAAAAACATCTCCGCATGTCAAGATTAAAATACAAAATTTACTAACAAAATCATCTCCAAATATTTTCTTTAACAACACAACCGACTCCTGTTCGTCACGTGTAAACCTATTGCCGTATTTCAGGACGAAAAGAAAAGCATGATAGCCTTCAGGATTGGCTGCCAGAGCCAATTTTGCTTCATCATTCAACTGCTCAACTGACCGTTCATTATCCAGCCTTGTGTCACAAAATGCCAGACCATCCACGACCTTAATCTGACGACCCTTGTGTTCTGTGATATCGGCGTCGAACTCTTTCGTCACAGAAGATGTACTGGACTCGCTCGCAAACTTTCGTTTCCCTACAATGGAATTTCCAGTCGCACTTTTGCCATTCCCGGTTTTTCCAATCAAGAGCAGGTCGATCCTAGTTTGTATATTCATACTTTTCTGGAAACAGAAAAGCAAAATACTGTACAGCTGCAAAATATTGGATAGCTGTAAAATATAAACATATGTAGCATAGCATTCATCAAACGTAAGGTATTTATTTTATCCAGTTCAGCTAAAGTTGAATGCATATCTGACACCAGGGGAAACCAGAATTTTATGTATGTTCAAAACTCGATAGCCCTACTAAAAGTTATTTTCTACAACACTAAGATCGAGAAAATATAACTATTATTTCTTAGTACTCATAATTTTTAAGAGCATTATAAATCTAATATGTGTTATATCTTTCTTTATTCTTAAAATTTTAACTAAACAGTAGCATATTTTGCAAAAAAAGTTATCTATAACAATAAAGTCAAACTTTTGATCAGTACGGTATAGCTCTACTTATATTCAAGGAAATGTAATTATTTCACTACTAGAAACTGCAATCGATTTATTTCTAAATCCAACATCCATTGGTAAAAACTAGATCTTAGTCTGTTTCAATATGAGTTGGGGGATGTTAAAAATTCACCATCAATATAACAAAAAATCTGTCACTGTCTAATAGTACTTTCACAATGTAGCAGACGCATAAATGCTTGGGAAAGAGGTAGCATGAGTTTTAGGTGGAGCAAAAAACTTACTTTTAAAACATTTGCTTGATTTTTTTTTTCAAAAATCATAAAATTAATTTAATAATGCTACTGTAGAATAAGTAGTTTCCTCTCATATTTGTTCAGTAAAATAATTTGTTGGCAGAAAATAGGAAAATGTTTTCACTCCTGCAAAATTTTTATCTCCGGAAATAATAGTTTTGAAACACGATCAGTAACTTGCGAACTCTAAAAGACATTTATCTACACATTCTTTATCCGTGGGTATCTTTCAAGCAAAAAACTAATCAGTTCACCGTCGTCAAGCAATTGATAGTTTATAATTCTTCCATCTCCTTTTTCATTTAATGTAGGGATCATTATTTATATATATATAAATGACTAATCTAATGTCTAGTAGACTCAACATGTGAAATCATTTCAGTGTCATCAGGGGCGAATGTATATGGAAAGTTACGAAATCGTAGAGTTAAAAGTGTTCGAAATGGAGTTACTAGATTTACTAAAAATCCTGTCAAATAATATTTGAGCCGCTCGTACCATATTTAAATGTAATGCATGCATATCACCTTACATGCTACTCAACAAAACATCAAACTAAAATCTATAATACTGACTCTTATACAGACTTACCCTCAACTTTTCTTCGTGCCTTACAGAATGTGGTCTGCTAGTATTTATCCTGCAGCCATCTTTTTATGTGGAAGAAGGGGCATTACAATTATATATATATATATATATATATATATATATATATATATATATATATATATATATATATATATATAATATGTCGAAAAAAAAAATTTTGATTTAAAAAAATCAGTTTTAAAAAAATTGCAAAATCTAGGTTCAAGCAATATTATAATGTTTCTTATATCAAACGCTTAACTAATTATCTGATTGAAAAAAGTTAATGAATTTGTGTGGGAATTAATTACAAACCCATTAAATGCAGATGTCAAGAAAAAAAGAGGAACTTTACTTCTTTTGTTGTTTTGAAAGTAAAATCTATATATTCCAACTTGTATATTTTAATAATATGTGAAAGTTAGATTCAATACTAGCTTGCCCGTCCCCGCGATATCCAGGGCGCCAAATCGCACCCTGCCGTTACGCCGCCCGTGCGAAATTGAATTCTTTTTTCCCCCAGAAACCTCCCCAGTAGTATTCTTAAAGTTTCATGGCGATCAGATGAAAAGTGTAGCAATGCATAAATAACAAAATCAAAATCTGACGAAATATATTAAAACGGTTTTATCAATGCTTTACCAATCCTATATTTTAGACGCGTGACCTTGTTTTCCAAAACCTAGTTATTTAAATGTAAACACTGGCTCAGTTTGGGTCACATTTATAAGGGTACGGGGTTCCTACACTACGGCCCCAAAAAAAGCCCGGGTTTGCAAATCGTACTCTGCCGGGACGCCAGTGGACGCGTTTGATTATGTATAGTGAACGACTCTAAAACACAATCTTATACATAGTCTTTCGCAAAGTTTGAAACGGACATAGGAGGCGTCATATAGCTAACAGGATAGCCTGGGGTTTTAAATCTTACCCTGCCGATGCAGCGCCGGACGCCCCATCATATCAATTGTCTATCTCACTATTTAAAAAGAACGAAGGCACCATAGCGCTCAAGGAAATACCTCGGGGCCAAATCGCTTCCTGCCGTGGGCCGCCCGTGCAAAATTACCCCCCCCCCCCCCCAATCTTCTCGGGAGTATTCATCAACTCCCAAAAGTTTTTATGGCACTCGGACAAACGGTGCCGAAACCGCATCCGACTTTCAATTTTTTAATATACGTATATAGAAAAGAATTGCACCCTCCCGTGGCGCCGCCCTTGCGATTATAAAAAAACATATTTTTTACAGCAGTAACCTTCCTTGGAGTGTTCTCGTCAAATTCCCAAAGTTTGATAGTGATCTGGTGAACGGTGTCAAACCGAAATCGACTTTTATTTTTATATACCGCATATAGAGAAAAGTAACAAATCACGTCTTCTTTTAATAATACATAAAGGACAAACACACACACATACATTGCTTAATATAGGTATATATATATATATATATATATATATATATATATATATATATATATATATATATATATATATATATAATGCAATGTATGTGTGTGTGTTATATAGATAATGCAATGTATGTGTGTGTGTGTTTGTTTGTTAATTTGTTTGTCTGTCTTTTATGCATTACTACACCTTTCATCCAATCGACATGAAACTTTGGGAATTTGTTGAGAATACTCCTGGGGAAGTTTCTACAGGAAAAATATTCAAATTGGCAGTTGTGGCGCCGCATTATGCGATTTGTTTTTTCTATATATATTGTATATATATGTGTGTGTGTGTGTTTGTGTGTATGGATGTAAATAAAACGAAGACGAACTCACCCCACAAGCTACACCTCAAGTTTGTATAACCACATTTATTTTAATATCAGTGAATATCATTTTTTAAACAGGAGTTAGACGATAGTTAAAGATGCCACACAAATTAAGGTGGAGATTTTGTCCTCTCTTGATTAATATGAGTAGAAAAAAGTGTGAAATGTAAAAAGAGTTTAATCAAATATTTAAACCCTACCCGAGAGGTCCGTGAATGAACTTTGATTTGATGATGAGGCAGAGCTTACGTCGAGATGCCGGTCCATTGAATTGGTCTTTCCACGATCCTCTGATACACCTTGCGTTTCCACATGGAAAGAAAAAAAAGAAGGAAATTGATTAGATTGATTTCTTCTAATGTTGTGAACATCTAATAATGTCAATCTAAGCTTTACCTCACTCCCATTCGTGTAAATTTAGATGGGGAAAATATTTTGCAATATTTTCTGGGCTGCTTGCCGCACTCAGATTTGTGACTTACAGAACTACATCAATGACAGCTACACCAATGACAGCTACATCAATGACAGCTACTTCAATGACAGCTACATCAATGACGGCTACATCAATAACAGCTATATCAATTACAGCTACATCAATGACAGCTACATTAATGACGGCTACATCAATGATAGCTATATCAATAACAGCTACATCAATCACAGCTACATCAATAACAGCTACATCAATAAAAGCTACAACAATGAGAGCTACATCAATAAAAGCTACAACAATGAGAGCTACATCAATGATAGCTACAGTAATCACAGCTACATCAATCACAGCTACAGTAATCACATCTACATCAATCACAGTTACAGGAATTAACGCTACATCAATCAAAGCTACAGAAATCACAGCTACATTATTTACAGCTAAAGTAATCACAGCTACACTAATCACAGCTACAATAATTACAGCTACATCAATCACAGCTACAGCAATTACAGCTACATCAATCACAGCTACATCAATCACAATACAACAATCACAGCTACAGCAATCAATGCAATATCAATCACAGCTACATCAATTAACTCGATATTAATCACCACTGAGGGAATCACAGCTACAAACAGCACAGCTACAGCGATAAGATCTACAGCAATCGCATCTACATCATTCACAGCTACATCAGTCACAGCTACATCAATCACAGCTACATCAATCACAGCTACATCATTTACAGCTTTATCAATTACAACTACAGTAAGCACAACTACAACAATCACAGCTACATGAATCACAGCTACATCAATTACAGCTACATCAATTACAGCTACATCAATCACAGCTACATCAATTACAGCTAAAGCAATTACAGCTACATCAATCACAGCTACACCATTTACAGCTTTATCAATTACAACTACAGTAATCACAGCTACATCAATCACAGCCACATCAATCATAGCTACGGTAATCACAGCTACATCAATCACAGCTACATCATTTACAGCTACAGAAATCACAGCTACATCAATCACAGCTATAGAAATCACAGCTACATCAACCACAGCTACAGCAATCACAGTTTCATCAATTACAGCAACATCAATGAAAGCTACAGCAAACACAGCTTCATCAATGACAGCTACATCAATCACTGCTACATCAATAACAGCTACATCAATAAAGCTACAATAATGAGAGCTACATCAATGACATCTAAAGTAATCACAGCTACAATAATGAAACCTACATCAATCACAGCTACATCAATAAAAGCTACATCAATGACAGCTACATCAAACACTGCTACATCAATGACAGCTACATCAATAACAGCTACATCAATAAAGATACAATAATGAGAGCTACATCGATAACAGCTACATCAATCACAGCTACATCAATCACAGCTACATTAATAACAGCTACATCAATAAAAGCTACAACAATGACAGCTACAGTAATCACAGCTACAGCAATCACAGCTACAGTAATCACAGCTACACCAATGACAGCTACATCAATAACAGCTGCATCAATAAAAGCTACAATAATGAGTGCTACATCGATAACAGCTACATCAATCACAGCTACATCAATCACAGCTACATTAATAACAGCTACATCAATAAAAGCTACAACAATGAGAGCTACAGCAATGATAGCTTCAGTTATCACAGCTACATATATCACAGCTACAGTAATCGCAGCTACATCAATCACTGCTACAGGAATAAACTCTACATCAATCAAAGCTACAGAAATCACAGCTACAGTAATTACAGCTAAAGTAATCACAGCTACAATAATCACAGCTACAATAATCACAGCTACATCAATCACAGCTACAGCAATTACAGCTACATCAATCACAGCTACATCAATCACAATACATCAATCACAGCTACATCAATCAATGCAATATCAATCACAGCTACAGCAAATAACTCGATATTAATCACAGCTACAGTAATCACCACTGCAGTAATCACAGCTACAAATAGAACAGCTACAGCAATAAGATCTACAGCAATCGTATCTACATCACTCACAGCTACATCAGTCACAGCTACATCAATCACAGCTACATCAATCACAGCTACATCAGTCACAGCTACATCAATCACAGCAACATCAATCTCAGCTACATGATTTACAGCTTTATCAATTACAACTACAGTAATCACAACTACAACAATCACAGCTACATGAATCACAGCTACATCAATTACAGCTACATCAATGACAGCTACAGCAATCACAGCTACATTAATCACAGCTACATCATTCACTGATACATCAATCACAGCTACAGCAATCACAGTTACTTCAATCACAGCTACATCAATGACAGTTACAGTAATCACAGCTACATCAATCACAGCTACATCAATTACAGCTACATCAATCACAGCTACATCAATCACAGTTACAGCAATCACAGTTACATCAATTACAGCTACATCAATCACAGCTACATCAATTACAGCTACAGCAATCACAGTTACATCAATCACAGCTACAGCAATCACAGTTACTTCAATCACAGCTACATCAATGACAGCTACAGCAATCACAGCTACATCAATCACAGCTACATCAATTACAGCTACATCAATCACGGCTACATCAATCACAGTTACAGCAATCACAGTTACATCAATTACAGCTACATCAATCACAGTTACATCAATCACAGCTACAGCAATCACAGTTACTTCAATCACAGCTACATCAATGACAGCTACAGCAATCACAGCTACAGCAATCAGAGCTAGAGCAATTACAGCTTCCATAGTCACCATGTTTCCCAGTTGGTCTCAACGTAGGCTTTTTAAATGTCTCAAAACACAGATTAGTCGATGTATCACATGGAGTGTAAAACATGCCGCCACCATTAGGACTTCCAACAGGATTCATTTCAGCTGGCATGTATGGCCGTGGGCCTGAAATGGATTTTATATAAAATATATTATCTTTTACACGTGTTCGCCGCCCCGGAAAATTTAGTCCGCCACCAAAATAAAATATCCAGTGACCCGCTCCCCATCCCCGGAGAAAAAAAGTCTGAAAGAAACACTGCATGTGTAAAACTCGAATTACGCAAGATCGTGTAATATTTTATATATGTTTTTGACTAAAACATCAGAACCCATTTAGAAAACCATTTAATATACATAAGCTACGTTAACTTATTTTGGCTTTGAAACTGAAACTAGATTTTTTTCTTGCTAGGCGAGTTAATTATATCAGTTTATTAACAATTGAAGCGGAAATAGTGCTTGATTTTTACTTTATCGTATACACGAAGTATAAAGAAAGTCTTGTAACCGCGCAAAAAAAAATCGAGATTTTTGCAAACCTTTTACGACTCCCTGAGGAATAACATAGTTTTGCAAGCTCGTCCGTATCTCTGTGTGTGTGTGTGATTATGTGTGTGTCTGTATACACGATAACTTGAGTACAGTTACAACTAGGTTGATGAAATGTAATATATAAGTATTATATCAAAATCGGAGATCCGTATCAACTTTTGAGCGATTTCCGATAACCGGAAGTGGCACTTTTTCTACTTTAATTTTTTAAAAGCCTATAGCTGGAGTTCTATTTCAGATAGATAAATGAAATTTCACATGTAAGTAAAAAGTTTCTGCCTTCTGTCAAGCTTTGAAAAATTTCCTTTGACCGGAAGTAGTCATCCTCTGTTTCATATCAGAATATTTGAGAAAGTTTAGACCTATTATAGTTAACAAAACGCAACAGATAAGCCGATGTATCACCTGGATTAACATTGTCAAATGTACAGCAATAAGGACGCCCAAAAGCAGGTGGGTTTATACAAGGTCTCATGGAAGATGGATATCCGACTGTGTTATAAGGACTGTTATATCCTATATGATATACATTTGGAGTGAGATTGTCTGAATAATGAAAAAATAGATTAAATATTAAGTAGATCTAGAACTAGTACGAATATAATGTCAGAGTTTTTCTAGGCATCTCTTCGGAGCAGCCCCCCCCCCCAAGAAGAATGTCTGCCGCCCCCCCCCCCCCTCACATAATGGAATTCATATAGAAATTATATACTTTTCCTAGTGACCGCCATCTCGGCAAATTTAGTCCGCCCCCCCCCCTGAAAATATCAAGTGCCCCCCCCCCCTCCTGGAGAAAAAAGTCCGCCTGAGTTGTAGCCAACGGCACTGTAAGCCACAGAACTACTATCTCGCATATAGCATCCATTTGGACTGAGGCTATTATTTATGACATCTGCAGATAAGTAAGCACCCAATCCATGTTCACCTTGGTCAACTCGATGAAATGTAACTGTTTTATATAAGAGGTAATGGAGAATTATATATATATATATATATATATATATATATATATATATATATATATATATATATATATATATATATATATATATATATATATATATATATATATATATATAGATAGATAGATAGATAGATAAATGAAATTTCAAATGAAAGTAAAAGATCAAATTTTTAGCCTTTTGTCAAATTTTGAATAATGTCCGTTGACCGGAAGTAGTCAATTCCTTTTGTTTCATATAAGAATATTCGAGAAAGTTTAGGCCTATTATATTTAACAAAAACTCAACAGATAAGCCGATGTATCACCTGGAATGCAACCATAAGGAGGTCCAAAAGCAGGTGGTCTTATTGGTCCCATTGAATATGGATATCCGCCTGAGTTAAAAGGACTGCTCCTACCTATGTGACTGAAATTGTCTGCATAATGAAAGGAATAGATTACATGTTAAGTAGATCTAGAACTAGTACTAATTCAAATGCATCTACGGACTGTAAGTCTACAGATCTGGGTCTAGTGTTAGAGTTTTTCTAGGCATCTCTTCGGAGCCCCCCCCCCCCCCCCCCCACGAACAATATCTACCGCCCCCCACCCCTTACATAATTGAATTTATATAGAAATTATATACTTTTCCTAGTGACCGCTATCTCGGCAAATTTAGTCCGCCCCCCACCCCTGAAAATATCAAGTGCCGCCTGAGTTGTAACCAATGGCACTGTAAGCCACAGAACTACTATCTCGCATATAGCATCCATTTGGACTGAGACTATTATTTATGACATCTGCAGATAAGTAAGCACCCAATCCATGTTCACCTTGGTCAACTCGATGAAATGTAACTGTTTTATATAAGAGGTAATGGAGAATTATATATATATATATACATATATACATATATATATATATATATATATATATATATATATATATATATATATATAGAGAGAGAGAGAGAGAGAGAGAGAGAGAGAGAGAGAGAGAGAGAGAGGGAGGGAGAGAGAGAGAGGGAGATAAATGAAATTTCAAATGAAAGTAAAAGATCAAATTTTTAGCCTTTTGTCAAATTTTGAATAATTTCCGTTGACCGGAAGTAGTCAATTCCTCTTGTTTCATATAAGAATATTCGAGAAAGTTTAGGCCTATTATATTTAACAAAAACTCAACAGATAAGCCGATGTATCATCTGGAATGCAACCATAAGGAGGTGGTCTTATTGGTCCCATTGAAGATGGATATCCGCCTGTGTTGTAATGAATATGAAGTCCATTTGGACTTAAATTGTCTGCATAATGAAAGAAATAGATTAAATGTTAAGTACATCTATAACTAGTACGAATTCAAATGCATCTTCGGACTGTAAGTCTACAGATCTGGGTCTAGTGTTAGAGTTTTTCTAGGCATCTCTTCGGAGCACCCTCCCCCACCCCACGAAGAATGACTACCGCCCCCCCCCCCCCACATAATGGAATTTATATAGAAATTATATACTTTTCCTAGTGACCGCCATCCCGGCAAATTTAGTCCGCCCCCCCCTGACAATATCAAGTGCCCCCCTGGAGAAAAATGTCCGCCTGAGTTGTAACCAATGGCACTGTAAGCCACATAACATATATATATATATATATATATATATATATATATATATATATATATATATATATATATATATAAAGTTTTATATAATATACATGTATATATATATAGGCCCTACATTCATCGCCTATTCTTTTCCTCTTGCCCACTAAGCTGTTAATTTTTATAGTTTTATATACAAAGGCGGTGATTCGCATTCACAGAAAGTATACATGATTTAGAGGCCTAAGGTTTTCTTCCGCAGTCGACAATCTGTTGTCGTTGATGCTGTTCTCAGAACAAGCATTTCTGAACTGTCTTTGTAGAAGACACAAGTTTAAGCTTCAAACCTCTCAATGCAATACATCTTTCTATTAACCCCAAAACAAACCCAAACACTCCCATCCTCCGGTAGCGATACTGCTCTGTATGGGAACCACTGGTGTGGGTTACGCATGTATCCTTAAAGTAAAACTATGGTGCTTAAGATCACTGTACCAACATCTTTTATATGATAAACTAAGAGCATAGAGGAGAGAGATGGAAGAAGTGCAGGCTACTGGCAAGACCTGGCATGAATTGAAGTGGCTCAACCAGGACAGAGTGAAATGGCGAAGATTTGTTGCTGCCCTTTACTCAACAGGGAGTGACGAGGATTAAGTAAGTACATTATATAAATTAATATTCAAAATCTATGTGTAGAATTTAAACTATAGGCTACCTGGTTCCATTTTTGAAGAACCCTTCTCGTAAACACAACAGGATATATCTGTTTAAAAAAATAGTGGATTTAATGTATTACTTTAAATGTTTCGCACAACTAAGAATAAACAATGTGTTATTTGTGCTTCACATCACTGTCGTTTCTAAATGGGGAAAATAGTTGGCAACTTTAAACATTGGCAACAGTAGGCCTACATGCTTTAAACGTTTGACTAACACAACCATAAACATATCATGTACGGTCATCTAATATCTTCAGCACTAGATCTCAAGAACTCATGATGATGCTGCAATAAACCAGCTCTGATGGGTATCTGACCCTATTTACGGTCACATCATATGCCTTGGTCACATAAATAGGTGAACTCTACTCCGCCTGGGCCACCAGATTTGCGAGAGCAAATTTACTTGCAATGTTGTGCAAGATTACGTCTAAAACGAGATTATCCCGACTCCTTAGGGTGCACAACTGATCACCACTTGGTGACGTCTTGTTGTATCTGGATTGGTCTACTGTAACAGGCACGTGGAACTCTATGTCCTTCTTGTACGCTAGCATAGTGCTCTAGTTGATTTCATGTGCAGTATCTAAACTTAATACTGAATTACTATATCCATATGAGAGAATCACTGTTTGCAGACGTGAACCAAATTATTCTATGTACAAATAGAGAAAAGAAGAACTTTAGTGAGAATCAAAACTTAATACGTTACCTTCTCAAAGCAATATATTCACATTCCTCTTCATTAACATGGCTAAAGGGTTCTTCCCATTAGGATCAAAATCACCTCCCTTCAAATCATCGTATCTGTCTATACATGTTGCAAAGTAAGAGAGCTTTTACAGTTTAAAATTATGTCCTTCAACCCACCGCCTACTAGTATACACAATTCTTTGAAAAAAAAGCAAGATATTTATAAAAGTGATAAAATAAGTTTTTCTAGCCCCACCACCCCCCCCCCTTTTCAGCCTGTCATCTCTTTAAACAGATAGATCATCATTAAAAGAGTTGAATAACCCCCCCCCCCCCACACACACACACACGCATGGTAGAATAGTAGGCACGTGTCTACACAATTTAGGAAAATGTTAAATGTGAAAGCTCGGTAAACTGTGCTGTCTTAGCACATCCACCGCTCTGAGCTTAGCACATCCCCTGGCTCTGAGTTTAAATGAAAACTGCGGTTGTTTTCTATGGTTTAAAACCCGTTTAACGGGCGCGAGCGAGTTAACTCCTCCCATCATGTTAATGACAAGGATTAAAAACGTGCATTTTTTTAGATTTAGTAAACAAAGCGACCGTAAAAA